GAGTAAACTTTAAGAGAAATAGTGATTTATTGTATAAAAAAATTAAAAATTTTTTTGTAATTTCCTTAGGGATTTTCAAATGTTTGTCGATTAATTTGTTAACTAGTATAACTTACGGCACATAGTGCTATATGCAAATTGTCGGATCAGTCGACGAGGTGGCAAAAAAAGACTTTTGAAATTTGTAAGTTTTAGTTTTTTAAAATCTGCAGAGTTTATCTTGTTTATGTGATAAAATGTAGAAAAGGTTTTGTTTTTAACCTGTATAGTTAAAATTGTGATAAAAAATTGATATTGAAAATGTTAAAAAAACCTAAGTGTAGTCTGATTTCTACTGTATGTGCAGTGTCCATGCTGAAATGAGGTATGGTTTACAAAGAATTTATGTGAGTTTTTTGGTTTTTATTTGTGTCCTGTTAAATATTTTTATATATATTTAGTTAGCTGAAGAGGGGCTGTTGCCCGAAACGTTGATGTATGGAAAAAACGTTCTAACTAAATAAAAGATTCAACTAGCCCAGTGTTGAAAAAACGTCACTTCATTGTGCCTGTACACAATAAGCAAATACAACACGGTTTCGACAACATCAATCAATTTAATAAAAGTATAAATTTTAAAATATCTATAAATTTAAAATATATATTATGCATTGAGAGATTTTTTATTAAAAGAGGTAGAATCAGATGGGTTGCATCATAAGGATATTTTAGAAATAGCACACATTTTATGCTATACATCGTTTTTTAAATTCAACAATAGTATATACATAGTGTACAACAACGAGATGTACCAATGGGTAGCCCCATTTCTGAGGACATAATTATATGCAAATTGGTCATACGTAATTTAGAAAACAGAATAATGCCAGAATTCACCCAAAATATAGCATTGTATAATAGATACATAGATTATATCCTTATTATTTGGCAAAAAAAAAAACTGGATATAAATCTTTTTATAAATAGAATTAACACGAATCTGTTTGGTCTTACTCTGAAACTGGAACAGCAAAGCAACACATCTGTCCATTTTTTGGATTTTGAAATTGAATTTAAAGGAGACATACATGTCAATGTGTATTATGAACCAGAATACATTCCTTTACTTATTCTAGCTCACTTAAATGATCCATTTAGATATAAAGTAACTGAATTTAGATCATTAATTAGGGGAGCATTTACCTATTGCACCAATATTGAGGATCCATTCATAGAGCTTAAATAGTATATGTTGTATAATAAGCACATAAGGAGAATAGCAATAGCACATGGATACTTGATAAAATTTAAAATACTTGGAACTTATTTCATTATTTCCAAAAACTTTTTTGAAAAGTTTTGTTTTGTTCAACTTGAAATCCAGATAAAGAGTTCACTGTTCCATGAAAAACTGTATTCATAAAAGTACAAAATGAAGAATGTGTTAGTAGTTCCAACCAGAACTATCCACCTCTAATATATACTGTACTATATATAACTTAATATATATAAAGAGTTTGCAAAGTTTTTGAATAAAATTTATTTTTATTAAACATGGTAACCTTAGTCTATGTAAAAACATCTATTGTTTAACTGTTAAATTATGAAATATTACAAAAATATGAACTAAAACATCTATATTTTTATTTTATATTATTTTGTTACTTTTATACTTTTGAAGAATTTTAATATTTTAAACTTATAATATTTTACATGTTGCATTTACATGTACAAGGGTCATACTGAACATCATGAACAACAAATTTTTATAAATTAGATTAATTTATTTTTGAGAAAAGAAATACATTACATTATTTTTCAGACTTTATTTTTCCACATAGGCTCCATTTTTGTAGATACAGTTTTTCCACTATTGCGGGAGCTTGAAAATTCCCATATGATAGAACTCCATTCTAGCACTATGAAGAAAACTGATGCATTGCTTGATGTCCTGCACCATTTTATAGCATGGGCTCTGCATGTTTTTCTTCACAACACTGAAAAGATGATAATTGAAGGATGCTAATTTGGGACTGTAAGTAGGATGAGGAGGAACTTCTCACCTCATTTACTGAATTTCCTCCATGGTAGAAGGAGCAATGTGTGGCCTCATGTTGTCATGCTGCAGGATGATCTTCTTTCCAGGATGTTTATGATGCAATGCACAACAGAGTTTATGAAGGATCATGAAGAATCATACTTATCAGCATTAATGGTTTTGCTGAGATTTGAGAAATTTTACCCAAATCACCCCATCTCCATCTCAGAAAATGGAGCTCCATGGATGGCTGCTATAAGGCTGATCTTTGATGCTTGGGTTTCCATCTTTAAAATGTTTTACCCATCTTCAAACACTGCTGTTACCCATACAAATATTTTCATATGTATGCTGAAGTTTCTGGCGAGTTTCTGCAATAGAGATTCCATCTTTAATGAGAAATTCAATCACAGCACTCTGGTGAAATGAAACATCAGTTGCAGCCATTTTGTATTGCTGTCTGTAGTCACATGATGGAAGATAATGATGTCACAACTCTATCATGGTGCTGACTATAGTCTATAAATTATGACAATGTCCTTAGTTTTTCATAATTAATAGACTGTGATTTATAAAAAATTGTTGCTCATGACTTTCAATATGACCTATATATAACAAAGGCTGAGTATTTCTGCAGTCAGTTCATCTATGGAGAATTCTTGCAATAAATTTTTTCTGAAATAAGAATATAATTTTCAGAAAACAACTTATTTTAATATACTGTCTATTTGAGTAAATATATAATAAGGAAATATATAACAAGGAAAGAAAGATAGATTAATTAGGTGGAAGTGCCATCAGAAAAGATGACAACATAGTCAATGTCTTGAAGTCTGTTCTTATTTTATTTGATATCAATTTAGATTTGATCAACAAGATTTAAAATAAAATCTTGTTGATAAATTTAGATTGATCAACAAGATTTTATTTTAAAAATTCAGCTATATGGGCATTAGAAATTTTTTGAAAATTATTGAAAGTTGGTTGATATTTCTGTTTTCAACATTGTAGATTGGATAGATTATATTTTGTGAAATTGATACTTAAGTTCATAAATAAAAAGAGAAAACAGAAAATTTGCATATAATGAAAGAAGTTTTTTTGTGAACATTATAAATATAGATTGCTCCATTATGAGACTGATTAAAGGACAAAAAATAAATAAATTTCATTATAACAAGGAGCATGTTGGCAGAATCTGAATGCTTGATAAAACCTTTTACTTTTAGAAAACTGAAGAATTAATTTCTCTCAATTAGCATTCTGAAACTTTTTTCCATTAATTTTTTACATAACTCTTTAATAATATCCAATAATTTTAATTTTAATGTACAGTGGTACCTCAGGATACGAATGCCCCATACAAAATTTTCAGGATACGACATGAAATTTGAACATATTTTTGCTCCACGATACAAACAAAAACTCACCATACGACGTTACATTAGTTTGCAGTGCCATTTTTTATTCACTTCTGTTTATCGATCTCAGTCCACGTGTTTGCTTCGTCATGGAAGGATCTCGCTCGATAAAGGAAACCTTGAGGTATTATCAGAAAGTGATTGATTTTATTAAAAAGAAAAATCCCGACAAGGTTCACACTGGCCGTATTGTTGCTCGGAGTAATGACATTTGCCTAAGTCATTTTAGAAACATTTTAAAAAGTAGGCAAAGCCAAACCTCTTTGGATAGATATTTTACCAAGCGACCTCTATCCAGTTAAAGTGCTGGTGGAAGTGAAGGAAAGAAAGCAAAAAGCAGTGAATAAAAATTTTAAAAAAATATATAAAACAACACTAATTTTTTAATATTTTCTAAGTTATTTTTAAGTTATTGTTACATTATGTTATGTAAGTTAAGTTTTAGTATCATTTCCCTTCTCCCTCTCTTTACACCTCCACCGTTGTCTATCCTCAAAGGTAAAGTGCAAATATAGCTAGATTTTTTTTTATCAATTATTATTCTATTATGGTTACTTATACATTTACAACTACAAAATGCATTTTTTTTATAAATTATAAAATTATTAAAAACATTAAAAAAAATGTTGTACATTAAAAAAAAATTATATTTTTTTTAATGTACAACTTAGCTTTAATTTGAGTGTGTTTTTTGTGTTGGAACGAATTATTTGGTTTTACATGTAATCATATGGGGAAAAATGATTCACCTTACGACATTTTCACGATACGATCTCAGTTTTGGAATGGATTAATTTCATATCCTGAGTTACCACTGTATATGTTTCTGTACAGTTATAATAAAATTAATGTACAGTACTTCTATTAAAATATATTTAATATATTACTTCTGTTTCATTATTTTTATTTTGTATATAATAACATTATATGTAATAAATTTTAATTTGAAATACTGTATTTTACTTTAAAAATTTTAAACTTTTTTAAAAAGTACAGTCAGTTGACAGAATGGGGAGAGAGAGAGAAACAGATGATTTTGGTGAAAAATATCTGATTTCATTGTATTTTTCAATTGATTTTACAATTTTTACAGTTAATTGTTTCAACTGTAAAAATTGTAAAATCATACAAATTGTAAAATCATAAAAATTGTAATTTGCATATGGTTATAAATTTAAAATCAATATGTTAAAAAATTCTTTAAATTCAACAGTTGATCAATATTAATAATTCTTAATTATATGTACTATACAGTAGCATGCTTAGTAGAAAAAGTCAAGATAGCTATTTCATTTAGCAATTAGCAGATTTTGTTTAAATATCAAAGTTTGTTTAATATTCAGTGTTGTTCCAAGTAACTTCTATATTTGTTACGTTAAATTAATTACATATTGTTTTTATTTCTAAAATAGATTTTATCATGAAATAATGAAAATAGTTATCAAAATGCTCAGTTTGTCTAATTTAATATTTTGCTAATTTACAATTTATTTATCTTTATTTCAAGAATTCTTTCAACTCATCTATGATCTTTGCATATTCAGAGTTTGTGGATTAGTTTTGATAATGGATTTAAAATATTTTGAAAATGTTAAACATTAGAAAAACTTATTTATCACATTCATTTTCACATAAACAGTTGTAAATAAAGTATTAAGGCTTATCACAGACAAACAACCAAATATTTAAACCATTTATTTAAATTTAGTTACTGTAAAATTTTATCATTGAAAATTACTATTTATAAAATTACCAAAAATATTAACTAAAATGCATTTCGGAACTCAGGTTCCCTCTTCAGTTAGTAATATTGTTACACATAAAACCAATTTATTTTTAATAATAATAATAATATTATAATAATAATAATGGTAATTAGAAAACCTTTTTAACTTCTTGAAGTAATGTTAACTAAAATTGTAAATTAGCAAAAATAGAGTCAACTGTAGGGGATATAATTTGATGAAATTAAATTATTTTATTTAAGAAGTTTATATGTTATATTTAATTTTAAACATTTTATGAAAATTTAATTGATTTTATAGAGTGAAGAGTATAAAATACAAAGTAAATAATAATATTTATTTACTATCTATTTTATCAGAAAATTCTATTGTAATTTTAATTGAAGATTGTTTTTATATTAGTTTATAGATTAATTCATTTTATTTTAATGCTATTTTTATCCTCCTATTTTCCATTTTCAAGTGACACTAAATTATGAAGTTAATAGTCTGTTATATTATAGTTTGTCTTGCATATTTTTTCATCTAGGCTGTGCATAAATGACATTCACACTGGAAGGATGTGAGGGAGTTAAGACGAGTCAAGTAAAGTTGGGTTGGACAAGGGGGGAGGGATTGAGCTTCAATGATGTCCATTTATTTCATTAAATTTTAAACAGTTTGTGCATTTCATTATGTATTTATTAAAAAATTTCTTGTATGTTTTTCTACTTATGGCATCTACTTAATTTCTACTTATGGCATCTACCATAAGTAGATACAAAATTATTTTACATAAATTAACATAAATTGATAAAGATTTTAAGGGGGGGTTGAATTTTGTTGGACATCTGAAGATGGGAGGGGGTTATGGAAACTTGGACAAACTGGGACAAAAGGGGGAGGGAGAGTAAAAATTTCAAGAAAAATGTGTGCATAATTTACTCTGAACAAAATATATTTTAAATGAGATTGGTTCTTGCTTAAATTATTTAATTATTCCAGCTAACATCTAAAACTTCATATAAATATAAATTTTATAAATAATAAATATATTAGCATTTTAATATATTTTGATAATCTTTTATATTATAAATAATTTATTGACTTATTACCTTCAGATAATTTGTTTCATTAATTCTTTTTGGATCATTAGAGTTGTTTTTTGTTGTTTATGGATTTTGAATATTTAGCTTAAAATCAAGTATTTTCCCTTTTTTTTTTTTACAGAAATTACATACATGTTTTTTTCCATAAATGCTATGATGATGAAACCTTGATATAAATACAATTTGTGTCCAAGTAGATCAAATTAAAATTATCTGATAATGCATATTTTTATGCCTTTTTGACTTTTACTGTTTTTGGACTAGATAAGTGCTTTACAGCTTGTTTGTATGATATTAGTACTATTTTTTTTCAAATGATTTATAGTGCTTTTCTAGTATCTCTGCAGTGGATTTTTTTGTACACATATAGTTCACATGAGAAATATCATTCTGCTATCCAATTTTTTCAAAGCAAAATTTAAAATTTCTTGACATTATAAAAATGATAATTAACAAGTGTTTATGATATGCAAAAGTTTTTATGATACTGTATATTATATTACTAAAGACTGTACATTATTGTACACTGTACTGTCATAAAATTTTTTAGCTCATTTCCTGTAATAATAAATTCAGCAGTATAACCCAAATAGCTCAGCAAAATTTCTGTATACAGATGATTGCAATAAATTATTGTACTGTATATCCATGTTATCATTTTCCATGTCCTCACAGAAAGCACCCCACCAATTTGAACTTTTGTAAACTCAGACAACCTTTACCCTCTATTAGTTGGAGTAGCAATGTATTTAAATTTATTAAATTAAAAAAATTTTGAATAAACCTAGGCCTAATAAATGGCTACACAGTAATCATTAAACTGATAAAAATTCAAATATGAGGGCATACTTAGCCTAATCTCAAATTATAATTGATAATTTAACTTTTTAAATCTGTCCAACAGTTAATAACTACCAGTCAGTTGTCCTAATATAGTTGGCATGCCAGAAATAATGAAAAATATGGATAAATATGACAAAATATGAAGAATTATCTAGTAACCAATAACATATTTTTCCATATTTTATGTAAAATTAGCCAACTTCACTTCAGAAATTACAAGGAATTCAAATATCAAAGTTTGACTTTTCTACATATCAGCAAGAAAAATGTAACATATTAATGCAGGGGTTAATGATAATTTTCTAAAGAACATTCCATTTTTAAATATTTGTGTATACAAATTGAAGATGGCTTAACATTGGTCAAAAATTTTTTCAAAATGAACACAACAGATAACCAAAAATCCAACAAACAAAAACAATTTAATAATTAATGAAGATTTTTGATCATTTTCAATGATTATCATCTGATTTACATTATATTTGAACATAGAACATAAACAGGACCTAGAAATTTGTTTTGTTCTCTCATTTTCATCCAATGAAATTGTGTATATTCCATTAGTCTACTGTTTAAATTTCTAGATTACTGTTTATATTCTTTGTTTGAATATAATGTAATCCTGAGGATGATCATTGAAAATGATTGAAAACATTCATTAATTATTAAATTGTTTTTGTTTGCTGGATTTTTCTTTGGTTATCTAATGTGTTGATTTTGATATTTGTATTTGGTTATTTAAAGAACTGTAGGATTAAAAATGATTTTGTTATAATATATAAATTTGGTTTCTTGAAAGAAACAATTTCATTTGTATAGTTTACAAAATGTGCCAGTTTTCATACAGTTTGTTGAGAATTACTATTGCAGTTTTATATCTAATTTAAAATTTAAAATTGTTTTATTTCAGGAATTATATAACTTTGGTGACAATGTTTTTAGTTGTGAGTGTCAGTGGAAACTATGCTCATTCCTTTAACATTCCAATGCCTTTACAAATGATTTTTCGATCTGTAAGTATAATGATTTTATATAAATATTAAGTTTATATTTTTATAATATTTTGCAGTAGTTGAATAAAAATTTTGAAAACAAATTTCAAAAAAAATTTTCTAAAATATATGTAACAGATCCAATTTTTAACATATAAAATTAAGATTTAAAAATTTAATATTATCATCCAATAGAAATTAACAAAGTAAAAAATTAAAAATTTTTCAGTTTATCCTCTAACAAAAATTAAATCAATTTGTTCATTAAAAACAAACTGATAATATTTAAATATAAATAACCTTGCTGATCTAGAAAAATGTATTATTTTTTAAATGAATATAAATCTTTATTTAAGAATTTTTTTGTTATTCCTTGAGAATGTCCCATATTAAAAACTGTCAAAATTTGGATATGATTTTATTTTAAAAATACAATGCAGTTTTGATTTACAGTCGACCCCCTATAAGATTGTTGATTTTTCCGTTTTATCTGAATTACATGTTGTACGAGTCACTTAGATTTTACAAATATGTGTGCCAGGCTGTGAACGGCTCGTGTATTTGTAAAATCTAAGTGACTTGTACAACATGGAATTCATATAAAATGGAATAATCAACAGTGTTGTAGGGGGTTCGATTGTATATGATCTCATTTTGCAAGATTTTGATATTATGCATCAATTATGATGATATATAAATTTGCAATTAAAATTAATTCTGAAAATAATTGCAACAACATCTTCTGATACACTATCTGAAAATGCTATGCTGATAGGCACAGAATTATACATTAATAATAATTGGATGTGTTGAATGAAAAATATTTTTAATTGTTGCAATTAAATTATTTTTGAAAAGTAAACTCTCATAATACACTACTCCATCTTTTAGCCACTGCTACGATACATCACTGTATAAAGAGTTATCATCAACAGTTTTTTTATCACAACGTGAAGAACTTGCTTCTCTTGATGACATGTTTTTATTTATAAAATAATTGTTCAAAATAAATTTCACTGCACAAATATGTCTATTCATGTGGAAATTCAGAAACGAACTGAAAGAGTGAGTGAAAAAGAACTCCGATCACAGATCACCATTGGTGATAACAATTAGATGGGAAAGTAGGCACATAGGTGTCAAGAATGCACAGTTATTGTCAACAAAAGTAAAAATATTAGACTTGGAATAGTAGAAATTAAATTAAAATAAATAAATAATAAAAAAATACCAAAAAAATAAATAAATAATAAAAAATAAATAAATGAGTAAATAAATAAATATATTATAAGTATTTATGAATAAAAAAAAAAGGAAAAAAATGTATACACAAGAGAATCGAACCCGAGCACTCAAGTGTACAAGTTAGGAGCATTACCACTCATGCCAGAGCTCAAGCAGAAGCACACGTAACTTATATATAAAGTGTTAAAAAACTTTAAGTTTGTTTTTCTCGATTCTATTTGAGTGTTGCACTTTAGTATTTTACAGTTAGTACCTCACATGGTGTACTACCTCTACACCAAAGATCATCAAAATCCATTTTTCCAAAACTGTAGGGTCTCCTTGTTAGTGTAAATCTTTAAGCATGCTTCAAAACTGCCATCTATACATGGTGTGGCTAGAAAGTAATGAGACTGTGATTGCCTGCATGCAATGTTCACATATGGGTCGAGGTGAGTGGGTGGATAAACAATCTTGAACAAGTTAGAACAAGCACTCTCAACTTGCTACTGCTATTAGATTTGCTGTGAGTACCTGCTGTGAATGGGCATGTTGTTAGCGCACATTGAACAATGGCCAGCTTGAAAGTGGAGCAGTGTATCAACCCTGAAATTTTTAACGAAATTGAAAAAAACTGCCACTGAATCTTTGCACCTGCTATGTGAAGCATATGAAAATGCATGTTTTTGTCATGCATGTGAGTTTGAACAGCACAGAAGATTTTCTGAGGGCTGAGAAGATATGAAAGACAAAGAATGTTCTGGACAGTTCAGCACATCAAAAACTGAGGAAAACATATAAGAAGTGGAACAAATTGTGAACCAATACTACTAGAAAAAAGTTCTAGAATCTTTGCAAGAAAGGGTCAGAAGAAAGTGGCAACACTTGTTGTGATCAAAATGGTTTCATCTCCCACCAGACAATATACCAGCCCATTTTGCTCTGTCAGTGGAGCAGTTTTTGGCCAAGAAAGCAATTACAATACTTGAACACCCATCATACTCACCTGATCCTAGCTCCGTGTGACTTTTACTTTTTCCCCAAAGTCAAGTCTGCTCTGAAAGAACATCACTTTGATTCGGTTTCTGCAGTCAAGAAAAAACATGGAGCTTCTCAGTAGCCTTACAGATAATGACCTGCAGCACTTATGATCAGTGGAAGTTGTGAATGCAGCAACACTGTGTGGAAGCAGAAGGATCATACATTGAAGGAAACACAACTAAAGTGAATATACTACTCAAGATTTAAAGTTCCAGCTTCAGTCTCTTTATTTTCTAGCCACACCTCATATATAAATTGTAATGAGCATATATCTGTGATTGATGTATTAAATGCTTTATATTTGATTTTATATATACTGTATTTTTTTCATTAAACCTGGGGGTTGTTTTTAAACCATATGTATCTGCCAGGTTATTTGAAGATCTGAGTTTTTTTTAGGGTGAGGATTCATTACCTTGCAACAGGAGATGAGTGGGTAAAACTGGAAATAGCTTAATTGGGCTGGCTGTCTGTCCTTCCTTAATCTTGAGAACAAAGTTAGATAAAAGTTGAGACCAGATATGGAAAGCTTAGATGAAGGATATTCCAATTAACTATATACAAACTTTTGGTTTGGACCAGAAGTTATGTTATTTCAGTTCAAAAATTTTCTCCTAAATGGAATTTGATAGATGACTAGCATGACTTTATTGTTAACAGAAAAAGTATGATACTCAGGGAAGTCACTACTAAACTTGAGATTGTTGTGATGAAAAAATGCAGCCTGGCATTGTGATGATGTTACAATAAATAATTACTTATTATCCATACATTTTTCAAACTATAAAAACACTTTATTGACTGTATTTATGGATTACAGCTACAACATTTGAAAATTGTTGTAATCAAAATCTAGATTATCATCTGATTCAAACTTGCTATCGCTTTCCAAAAGAGATAGTGAGTTTCAATCAAAGTTTATCTAATTACACTTCAGCTGATAAGCTCTTAACTTTGTGATTTCCCACACTCAATATTCAACATTTCAACATGGATCCACATTACATTTTTGAATTCCTTGTCACAGTTACTGGAAAATGGCAAAGTTTTATTGAAATTGGCCCATTAAATTTTCAGAACAAATTCAATTCTATAAGCTCATACAAGGCATTCTAGTGAGTGTGGAACATCACATGACATTGCTTTGTCACGTGTGCTTGTGCAATGACCATGTATTTTGAAAATGAAGTCATAAACCTCCAGTTTTTATTAAATTTTTGAATTCCTGTTGCAATTAATGGCAAAATTTGATCAAAATTGATCAAACAGATTTGGAGAATGAACACAATTCTGTAAGCCACATAGAAGAGGCTTTTCTAATGCTCTACCTCAATTAAATTTCATACTTGTTGCTCTAAACTATATTACTACATACAGTGCAGTACTGCAACATTTTTCCCATGTTTTTTAACCTGGAGTTTAGTTTTAACAGCACTGTTATTCCCCAATGTTTATTTAAATCCTGGGATTTAATCAAGAAAATACAGTATGCTTATTAAAATACATTAAAAATGCTTGATTTTAGTAATTATTATGTTATATTTTCTAGGGTTCATTAATAGCAAATATGCTGATGGGTTTTTTGATTTTAAACAAAAGGTAACATTATGTATGCATTTATAATAAAATATAAACTATGAACTGCTTTAAATATATCTTATCATATTCTTAATTAAAATTGTTAATTTGTTGTTGATAAATTTTAGAATGATTAAATATTTATTTCATTATTCAAACAGCAAAATATTTAAATTCTTATAAATTTTTGTTTTTTATTTAGTCTTCAATATTGTATTTTTTAATCTTATTGTAGAATTGATTTTTTAAGATATAGAAAAATATTTAAGTTTCATTTAAAGTGCTTTTTAAAAATAAATGTTAAAACTTCTTAAAATATATGTTACAAAAATATTTTGCAAGAAGAGATTTTTATTTTATTATATTTACACTCATGTCCATAATTTAAGGATTTCATGAGTATGCATATTACCCACTGATGTAAAGGAACAAAATGCAAATAGAGTGCTTTGTGGCAACTTCTGGGCCCTTAGTCTCGAGTTTTTCGTGTTGTACTTGAATTGACGTCATCTAACTCACTCGTGTTACTGTGACTCACATAATCGGTAGTCTCGAGTTAGACCCATCGAGCGAGCTCGAAAGGCGAGCGGAAGTAGGTCATATTCACTTGTTTACGTGTATCATTAAGCATGATGGGATTATTTACAATGCATCTGGGTTTGCGACTATACTGATTCGACCAATCAACTTTACTGTAACAAGTTGTAAACAAATCAACGTGAATTAGTTTACACGTGTTATAGTTAAAAGTTTTGTCCTATAGCAAAATGGAAACCTCCAATATTTTATTTTAAAAAAGAAACGAAGAACAAAAAGAAGTATTAGTAACATATATAGAAAATAATAAGAAAACGAACAATATAAAATTCGACAACGAATTTACAAGAAAAAGACAATTTGATTTGTGGAGAGAATTAGTT